ACAATGACATGATTCACTTTGAATATTCAAAACTAGTAGTCCTCAGAAACAAAAAGAAAAAGAAGAGAAAATAATACATAATTTACAGGGGAAATGGCACCTATAAAGACATTTCACTCTTGCTTATTGATCTCATCAGACAGGGTGCTTTCTGGCAGCATACGCCATTTGGCCTTCTTTTCTTTTAGATGGAGCCCCGCTGACTCCCATCCCATGATGTAGAGCCACTTCTGGTGGGGCTCTGTTGAAAAAAGGGAAGGTCAACTGGCATATGTCACCGTGACAGCAACATGGGAGGCTTCCCTTGTTGAATTAAGATCAACAGGGGGAAGCCAGGATGGGGCAATGGGTGAATTGGGTGAAATGAGGCACAGGCAATGAGTTCTCCATGCCCCTCTATTGGTACTGTCAGATTCGCCATGATGCATGGAAAATCTGGTGGCCCGTTTGATTAGTCCATAAGATTCCTACAGGAGTCCATCAAGGTGTCCTGATTTAATTCAGCATTATAAACACCTTTGCAATAGAAATACCACTTGGAAAAAGGAAAAAAAAGGGAAAGAATACAAAAAAAAGGCAAGCTTTGCTGTTTAAAAATAGTAACAGATGGTGCTATACAGAAATTTTTACACCACCTTACAAGTGACAACCTCAGTTCCCTGTTGGACTAAGAGAACTTGGAACGAGAGCATATGGAACTCAAGGAGGGAGGTACTTAGACCTTGTCACCATTTACAGCTCAGACGTGTATCCATGGGATTCACTTGAACATATGTGGCTGACAAACTGAGGAGTGCTCAGCAGGCAAGGTACAACTCTTTTTGGTGTCACTGGTGTGTGTTTTTAAAATACACATCTGATCCAAAAAGTGAAGAAAGTGCAGAGGTTCCATTTGACAGAGCTGGGCAGAGAATATCGACTTCATCATTTCTGGACCAAACCAGCTGGATAAGAATCAGTCAGGAGGAAATTGTTTACCACTTTGGGAATTTGTCTAAATCCCATGTTTCAGATAAAACAAGTCAAACTTTAGCCCTCAGATGAAAACCCACTGACTTTTCCAGTTTGGTTGATTTCTAAAAGTTTGGAATAAATTATAGTGAGTTTATACTGGAAGAAACCTGTAATCCTAGGATTGTCAACAGTTAGTAAATAATAGAATCAGGTTTGCACCCCCTCCCTCAAATCATGTTACCAATCATATCTTTATGATCAGGACAGGCACATAGTTTAAATTCAACATTAAAACTATCTGGGTTTTTACTTCCTCTTCTGAATTGTTGTTCCTCTTAAAAATGGTTGCTTGTTGTTAGATGCTCTAGACTTGTGATAGGGAAATTGCATCTCATGGATCACATAGTCTGACAAAGCTATTTTTGAGGAATACACCCCCCCCCCATTTGTGAATTGTGTATGTCTTACATTGAAACATATCCCAAGAAGAGTATGGAGGTGATTATGTATGTACATATATGTACACACACAGTATGACCCCCTCATGCCCACTGGAGATATGTTCTAAGGACTTCATTACATTGAGGTCCTTCATCCAGGTGATAGTGGGAGGTTTCATCATGGATTGTGGTGATTCCGGTGGGGCCCAGCAAAGGGGGGGGGGGAATTGGTAACCTGTCACCCTACACCCCACATTGCCTCTCACCCTATCTCATGTGGGGAAGTGCTGCAGCCCGGCTTCCCTTGTTGTTTTCTATGCAACATGGGAAACCTTCCATGTTGCTGGCACGGCCTCCTGCAATTCTTATACTTCTGTTCAGGCATGGAGGCCTGCTGGAATTAGATCAATGTCATTTGATGGGATCTGGTGGGCTCAGTACCTGAAGAGAGGTCCAAGTGTCATCAGACGGGCAATTTTGTCCATCTGATGAACTCTTTAGACTCTCATATGTAAATCATATTTCAAATAATAAGTATGTGTGATTTATAAACTCGAGAGTTTCCAATTTCAACAGCAAGACATGGTAGTCCTATTGCTTTTCTCAAACCAATGGAACAAGAAGCTCTAAGCACATTTCAACACTTTTCCAATTCACTGGGCACATCTAGTGGCCTTTGCTTCTCATATAATAATAAAAAAAATGATGTTTCCCCTGAATTCTCAAAATAATGTATATGTTTGTTCATGGCCATTCAAGGGAGTACTTCTTTCAACTAATGCACTGCTCATGAATATATTTTCAAGTAACCCAGAATCCAACAGAGAGGTCAATACCACCAGCTGTGGGTTGAAATTGAGATGTGTAAGGCTCTGATTAGTCAATCAATCCAGTCCTTCAAATGTCTGTAGAGGTGTTATGAGAATATTGCTTATTGGTCTAGTCCTCCACGCTAGAGATTATTGAGGATGTTGCTACATGGCTAAAACACGGCTCTGATGCTACTGGTAAAAAGAGTTTTCCATGCCAGCAGTGAGCAAAGGAAGATAGATGCTTTTGAACTGTGGTGTTGGAGGAAACTTATGAGAGTGCCTTGGACTGCAAAAAGATCCAACCAGTCCATACTTCAAGAAAGAGGAAGTCACAGGAAGGAGGGAGCAAGCTTGTTTTCTGCTTCCCTGGAGACAAGGGCGCGGAACAATGGCTTCAAACTACAAGAAAGGAGATTCCATCTGAACATGAGGAAGAACTTCCTGACTGTGAGAGCTGTTCAGCAGTGGAACTCTCTGCTGTGGAGTGTGGTGGAGGCTCCTTCTTTGGCAGCTTTTAAACAGAGGCTGTCAGGGGTGATTTGAATGCAATATTCCTGCTTCTTGGCAGGGGGTTGGACTGGATGGCCCATGCAGTCTCTTCCAACTCTATGATTCTATGCTTCTATGCCTATTTCAGAAAAACTTGACTGTTGGCTTAACAAGAACTTGACAGCCAAATGACTAGAAATATTTGGCAGCTGGTTCAACATTTTGTGGCAGCAACAGGGAGTGACTCATGCCATTGGTGCCATTCAACTTTAATTAAATTCCTTGGTAATTTTGTTCTCAAGGGAAGGAGCAAATAAGTTCAGCAGTTTTCCTCCCTCTGTGGAAAAATGCTTAGAAAAGTGTGCAGTTTGCAAAGACTTACTCTGTGCAAAAAGTGTGCAGTTTGCAAAGACTTACTCTGTTCAGGACTTACTCTGTGCAAAACTGACATGGTGCAAAAATTTTCATGAGAAAAATAAACCTCTTGGAGAACAGCATTTTCTGTGACCAAAAATTTAGAAATACAAAGGTCTGAACTTGGTAGCAAAGGTCTGAACTTGATAGAAAGGAGTAAAATAAGGGTCATGAATAGAGAGGTAAAGGTAACTCCATGAAGAAAGAAATTTCATTACTGAAATTTGTGGGTCTTTCCTTGTCAGTCTTCTAAATGCCTCTCTATTTCTCCTTTCGCTCTACACAGATTTCTTCTTCCATCCCTGCTAGTGATTTTCAGGTGACAATAAAAACTGTAGCACAAATAAGGTCAATGTAGCAAATGGAAAGGGAGAGAATTGCTTCCATTTTCTATTGTCAGTTGTTAACCTTATCTTAATCAGCCCTAACAAGATCTTTAACAGAGAAATCCTAAACTCACCCCTCAGGACGAGAGGTATGGCTCTGTACACTGAAGGAATGGTCACCACATTGAATGCATGTTCTGTCAGGGGGGGAAGAAAGCATACAACACAACCAGAATGTATACAATATATAAATGTATAAAATTGCAAGCACCTTTCCAGGATCCCTTGAAATGCTTCCACAATCCATCAATGAAGGACTAGAACAGCCAGATAAAGTCACAGCCTATAAAGTCACAAGGATCAGGAGATGGTCCCAGAACACAGAATGCATCACCAAATACATCATATGTAAGACAACTGTATTGCCCATATGGTCACATCCAAAAATAATCTAAAAATGGATTTAAATACTCTTTTGTTCCTTGTTTTATGAGGACCCATCTAGGAATAGAAAGAAAACTCCCTGTTTTTCATCTCCTAGCCAAAAAAAGAGAGACTTGGGGAAATAACTCAGAGGAGAGAATGTTTGCCTAGAGCATTTGCATTTCTGTATGTGTCTTGGAAAATTATTCTGGACAAAACCCACTTGGGGGGGGGGGGCATCTGCAAAACTGTATTTATTTATTTGCAAATAAGACTATATACATTTCACAAACTATATTCTGATTGAAAACAGTGGGGGGGGGGGATGTCCAAAACCTACAAAACAGTGCATATTTCTGTGCAGAGTTATATGAATTCTGGGCAAAATTTGCACAGAAATATTTACTTTTTCTTGCAGTGGGAGAAACCAACTGAACATTTACATGTGTAAAGATGAAAAAGACAAAAGATTTACATCCCTACAAAACACACAAATGATTTACATCTTTCTCCAAAAGAAATAAAAAGGTGGAGATTACACACACCCCAGAACTCACATCTGTCTTTGGATAGATAGCACACAGAACCCTCTTAACCAAAGGTTTCAAGACTTATGTAAGCTGGAAATAACTCTCTTATAATGCTGTGAAAAGAATTAGATGACAGGCTGAGGAGGACAAAAAGGGGATAACATAACATAACCACAGGCAATTATATGACAGAATTGGCAACAGTAAAAAAAAAGAAAAGAAAAAATTATGAGGACATGGAAAGAGGACTCATCTAGAACTTTCACACATCACAGGGCCAGTGGCCCTGTGGGCTGTGGAGTGTATTTGTAATTCCCAAAAGTAAGGTTTCCAATCTCTGCAGAGTTCTAGTTAACACAAAGATAAAACTTTGACCCATCCCAGGCTTATCCGGCAGGGACTCTTCTTCTGCTTTAAAAAATCCCTTCCCCATTCAATTCTGATGAGACAGGAATATATCCAATATTTTCCCAGTGTCCAAACAGTCTGAATTTCCTCCTGCTTCAAGGATAAAATAGCAATGCAGCAATGTGCTGCAGCTGACTGAGTTTTATTAGTTCGCATAATTGTCTCTTATTAATTTGTACTCTGCATAATAAAATAAGCACTCACCTTCACCGTCTGTCCAGCTTCGGGACCATCCTGTAGACAAGGAGGAGGGAAGGGAGGAGGGGAAAGTAAAAAAGAAAGAAAATGAGATGGAGTTAAGGGCAGCCAATGAGGCTCTCCTGGGTATTCACAAATATTGGCCATTAATAATTTAGATCCAATTTCATTGTGCATTAATTTATAGCACTCTCATGGGTGCGATTTGGCACCAAAGCGTTTAGGGACAAGACACCTTTCTATTTTGAGTCCTGATCGAATGGGAAACTACGGTCGGAAGAGGAATAAACGCTGGCACATTTATTCCCCCAGCCCTCGCTATCTTATATCACAGATGCTCCCAATAAATGTTGGTGCTCACCAAGATTTATGGGGGCTATTTATAAAAGACAAGTTAGTTGTTGGCAGGCACAGTACTGTAAAGTGGCCTTCTCCGCACAATGCAGTTTTAAGAAAACAAAAAGGGTCTGCGATGTCAGAGGTGACCAATGAGTCAAGTCCTTCACTGTCATGTCCCACTGTCATAAGCATGGATGGGGAGGCTGCCATTTCATGGAGGGTTGAAGCAATTTTTTTCAAGCTTTAAATTATAAATTGAACTGCAAAGATGAAAGCTGGAATAGAACTGATGGTGTATGATTGTACACTCTGTTTAGTCATTCACTGTGGCATGACACCATTAAGGTTGGTGTCATCGAGTGCAGCCATTCATGATATCACCTCCATGGACCTACCATACCAGATGATATAGAATCCTTAGTAACATTTTTTGCACTACTGTTACTTGTAAATCATAATTTTTGTATATCACTGAGTGTAATGGCAAAATCAATGATTGTAGCATGTACTAACAAAACCATGTGATTCAAAGTGTCATTGTAACTGTGTGATAACGATAGCTCTGATATGTGCATTAGAAGCTTCAAAAGTAAATTATGCAAAGAGCCTTAGCCTGGTGGGTATATTGATACAGTACATGTAAGTTGGGCTTCTGAAAAATGTTTTCATGACAGGGGAATTTTTATAAACAACAATAAATTGTATATAGGCTGTCACTTTGAGATTACTCCCTCTGATGGTGTCATCTGGTGCAGTCCGCACCTACGACACCCCTCTCCCCGCAATGTTGTCACTGACTTTAGTATATATATGAAAACCTAAGGATAGGGGCTGGAACCCCTGACCTTATACTTGATATATATATATTTACTTAAGTTTAAAATATTTGTGTCCCACCTTTCATTCTTAGATGTTCAAGATTCAACAGAGACAATGGCTTCATTTCTGTTGCTAGTTCAACACAATTCCAGGCCATTTCCAAGGTACTTTGGATTACAACAAGGATAGTTACTAATTGGGGGTGGTAACGGCCGACAGGGAGCTCTGGCGTAGGCTGGTCCATGAGGTCACGAAGAGTCGGAGACGACTGAACGAATGAACAACAACAAGTTACTAATTATACATTGTAGCTGGAGAAAATCATTTCCTATCCAGTTATAGTGGACATTAATGTTAATGTCACAGGATACAGTGGAGGCCAAGGAGCTTGGCAGATACTTCTATTAATTTTGTTGCTCATAATGTCCTAGAATTCAATCTTTAAGAGCTGGCTCTGCTACTTCAGTGTATGCACCTTGTATCCTAAAAACAGATTGCACATGCATGAACACACTGATCTAAATCCAATTATTAGAGTAGATCTTGAATTAGAAAAACTTCAAAAATGTTGATCAGCAAAGTTCATTCACTCAGTCTACTCTAGTTGGAATTAGCAAATGTATTTAGGTTAAGGGATGGTATACTAGTTTGAGTGTTGGACAAGGACTATGAGAGATCTGATTTTAAATCTATGCTCAGTCACAGAAATGCACTAGGTGTGATCTTGTGCAAAGTCACATTCTTTCAGCCAGGGGGAACAGCAACAATGTATATACACTCAAAGGTACAAGGGTTCATGTATATCCAACCTGTGTTTTTATGTGCCAGAAGGCATAGCCCTAACTATCATTCTTTTTGTATTCAACAAATACCTTAAGGCCACTATCTGAGACTGAGGACCTCATCAGACATGGTGACCCTGTGTCCGATGACCATTATATGGGTCTGTGTAGATCCATATAATGCAGTTCAAGGCAGTTCACCTGCATTATATGGGTCTACATTGCCCATATGGCAATGTAGATTGAGTCAAAAATTGGGGCTTAGAAAGGCTTTCTTCTGAAAAGGCTCTTTCAAGTGTCTGAAATTTATTTCCAGATCTGAATTGAGAGAACTTCACCATAACCATTAGTTTTGGTGAACACATAACGCTTTATGGGACACAGTACCTTGTAGGACATGACAAATCCAGTTCTGTACCCCTCAAAGCCATATTTGTACATTTGTACATTTTCCTTGTCACACAGCATTGGTAGAATTGTCCCAAAAGACACATAGTTATTAATTAGTCAGGGTTTTTCATTTAAGCTAGCTATAATATTGACTTTCTGTTGTCATGTTGCAGCAATGAATCTTACCACACAAAGGAGATTACAGATCAGTACCATTCCTTTATTACAAGCCTGAATATCCTCTTTGGGGAGCATTTGTATGTCTATAATTTTCTGATTATAGGACTAGTAAGAAAAAATACTGAGTGGAATGAAGCCACAGTAGAGGCGGAAACTGACCTGAACTGAAATGGTGAGTGAAGTGCCACCAAAATGTTGTTCAACCACATTGCCCACCAGTTGCGTTGCACGAAATAAATCCGCTACTTCTTCAGGGCGTAGGTCTCGGAATCGTTCCACAGGACGGAGTGGGCAAATGAGAACATCTGGTTTGTGTAATGTTAAGGCACAATTTCACATGTAGGCAACTCATTATAAAAGCTTCTTAATCTGTTTAACAAAGGAGGCCAAAAAGAGGGTATGCTCCAATGAGATTTTTGAAAGACAAGACTAAAGCAAGAAAATGAACAGGGTTAAAAACAGACAGAAAGGAAGAGCCACAGAAAAACTGTAGTCTGAGCATATCCTAGTATAATGAATGCTTCTCTCTATTTACCTCACAAAGCACAAGTTACATCTATGTCATACTGTGATTATCTCCAAACCTACATTTCCCCTCAAAATTCTAAAGCATATACATTTTATAGAGAATTTTCACATTGTAGATTCATCATCATACAAACATTCTGACATTTTCAAATTGGTGTGGGTTCTCCTCCATCTTGGGATTCCTGAGGAATACAAGGCAGGATGCTGTGGACACTGCACTTATGGAAAGAGAAGAATCTATGTTTTACATTACTTAAATATTTCAGACATTTTAGAAAGTAACAGCACATCTGTTCGCAATCTGTTTAGAATTACATCTTACTCAATTACTCAAAATAGCCATGGAGGAATCTATCAGTTTTGCTTTCCCTTCACATTTCCCACCCCCAAAATATCCCAAATGATTTCCATTGCATTTTAAAAAAATGATAAATTCTCAACAAAAGCTAATCTAAGGTATCCTGTAAGCTGGCTGTAAAACTTAAGCTTTGCTTATTGCAATGACACTGACATCTGTGTAAACATGTACTAGACTTATCTGCAAAGTATCAAGGCAGATACAGCATAGGCGTACATCGTTTTCTAATACCACCTAACTTAGAAATTAGAAAATGTATAATTTTCAAATACTGTCTAAGATAAGAGTATATTTCTTAGCTTAGAAGATATTAGAAAACAATGTGTTCATTTTCTCATGGGGTTTTTAAAAATGCTATGAGATTATTTGCTGGGAGTGTAAAGAGCTGTAGAGTTTAGTAAAGCCTCTCATATATACAGTGTCCCCCCACTTATTGCGGGTGTTATGTTCCAGGATCACCCGCGATAAGTAAAAATCCACGAAGTACGGATGCTATATTTATTTTAATATTTATACATTATTCCAGAAGTTATACACTATTTTAAGTCTTATAAACCCTCCCCACACATGCAAACTATATAAACCTTTTCCTTTACCTTATAAACAAAATCCTTCAGTCACTTTAGTTGAGCAGCACTAAAGTGACTGAAGGATTTTGTTTATAAGGTAAAGGAAAAGGTTTATGTAGTTTGTACATAAACTCCTCTCCTCTCTCTCCCCCCCTTTCTCTCACTCACTCAATCCCTTCACCTTCTCTATCCTATCCCTTTCCCCCTCCTTCCTCCCTCCCCCTTTCCCTTGCACTTCCTGCTGGCTCCTCTTTATGTGCCTGGCTCCCTCCCCTCCTCCTCCTCTTCCCCCTCCTCTCTCTCCATTTGTGCACAACTTCTTAACCTTCATATCTTCTTCCTCCTCTTCCTCCTCCTCCTCCACCCCTGTGGCTCCCCCCACCTTTCATTGCAGTGGTTGTGCTGGGAAACATGGCATGGGGGGATTATTTTAACCAACCACGACCACCAAATCGACATGGGGGTCCTCACATGTAACGGGTGAGACTCAGGGCTCAGAGCTGAGAGAGTGCATGGAAGTTGCGGGGAAGGGGGGAAGGAAGCTGTGGGGGAAAATATTTAAAATATTTTCAATAAATATTTTAAATTCATATTTATTGAAAAACTGCAAAACAGCGAGTCTGCGAAAAGTGAAGTAGTGAGGAAACATTGTAGTCTTTCCAGAATACTATAGAAAGTGCCTTCACCAATGTATGCTGTTACTTGATCTAGGAGCTCAAGGAGGAAGCAAGAAACCCACAATGCAACCTGTGTGTTCATACCAGGAATAAAGAAATTAGAAAAGCAATTTATTTGACGATAAAAAGGGGAAATCATGTCAACACTACAAAACACAAGGAGACACATTTGTTGAATCTACGTTCATTTTTACAGAAGGAAAGATGGGGAGATTTTACCTCAGGGAGTGTTTGACACTTAGGTAGATCATTGCCATTTTTCAACTGCAATGCTTTATTATTGAGGGCTCAATGTATCAATTGTAAATTAAGAATATCATTTCATTAACCTCTAGTAACATTTTAACAGAATTTTGTTGGCCTTTCTGTCTATCTTCTGTACATGTACACACATCCCTGACTTATATAGCAATTTAGACTTCACATGATTTCACACTGAAATCTCAGCTAAGGAGATATTTACTTTTACCCATTACAGAACTGTGAGCTTTCTCACATATTATAAAGAATATGATAAAAGAGTCCACCTGTTTTTAAAGTAGAAGAATTGATCCATGAAGGGAAGAGGTTCCGAAGAAAGCATCCACTGATTCCCATTCAAGTTTCCTAGGATATGTTTCCTCACACACATTAAGTAGCATTGAATCTGAAACTGTCATATATAAGAGCTACCAAGGTCCTACATCATTTTAGCATAGATAAATATCTGCTGGTGGGGTTGTGATATGAAATCTCTGTACTGACAACATTTGTGGCTCAATGGCCAATGTTGCATAGTTATAATGCACAATGTATGGAGTGAATGTATCAAAGCAATGTGCATTCATATCCTATGTTATGCACATGTGCAATGGTCCCCCATGTACAATTTTGCTCATACCATCATCAACTGGATATGACTGTTATGTGTTGTTTAAATCTCCAAAAATATCCACTTGTGGAGAACTTTTACATTTGTGTATGTCAGTAACACAGAGAGTCAGCATAGTTTGAGTTTTGAACTTACAGCTCTGGAAACCAGGATTCAATTTTTTACTCAGCCATGGAAATCCACTGGTTAACCTTGGCAAGTCACCTTTTCTCAGCCTCGGAGAAAGGCAAATGCAAATGCCCTCTGATCAAATCTTGCCAAGAAACCCACATGATAGATTTGTCACCATAAAGGAGAAACAACTTGAAGACACATAACAACAATGTCAAACACAGGATGCTGGTCATTACCTCTGTGCATTTGCCTAGAGAATGTCATGCTACACGAAAACTACTCCAACACTCTGCAACAAGTTAACACACCTATTTTTTTTCTAGAATTGGAGAAATGCTTTCTTTCTCACGTTCTGGAGACCATAGTAGCCACCCCTACAACAGGGATAAGGCAAGATTAATTAGCCCAAAGTCAACTTGACAGATGTTTATGCAGCTTATTTCAAGAAGCATCTCTTTATGCAAATGCCACAACCTCCCTTGATAAACATTCAAACAAGCAATTACTCTTCTAGTCAGAATGTTTTTGCTTCCCCAAATATTTCTCCTGGAATCTAGAAACAAGTTGTTTTGCCCAGTTTTTCAACAAAGTGAGGAACTGAACCCCGCCTTTCTTGTAAGATATCATTTCCATAAATGACATTCTTTTTTTATAAGTTTTTATTGAGTTTTACGTAATTACAGCGAAAGTGGGGGAATAATATAAGAAGATAGAAAAGTAGGAAAATTCCCAAAAACCATATCACCCGTGAGCAGAGAATGAAAAATAAGAAAAAGAGAAAAAGAAAAAACGACCATCCAAAAGTCAAAAATCCAAAATCCAAAAACAAAATCCAAAACAAAACCAGGTTGGCGGTCCCTCCGGATTGAAGGTGATGCTGTTGAACGCCAGATCTGTCAAAGGAAAAACAACCTTTATCCAGGACCTAATCCTGGATGAGCGGGCAGATCTGGCGTGCATCACGGAGACCTGGTTGGATGAAGCTGGAGGTGTGAATTTAACTCAGCTTTGTCCGCCAGGGTTCTCCGTGCAGCATCAACCGTGATCCGGAGGGCGGGGAGGCGGGGTCGCAGTGGTCTATAGAGATTCCATCCATCTGACCAGGAGTCCCATCCCGCAGACCACAAATTTTGAATGCGTCCACCTGAGGGTGGGTGACCGGGACAGAATAGGGATTCTGTTAGTGTACCGTCCACCTCGCTGCACTACAGTCTCCCTACCTGAGCTAGCGGGGGTAGTCTCGAGCCTGGCGTTGGAGTCTCAACGGCTTATCGTGCTGGGAGACTTCAATATCCATGCCGAGGCGACCCTCACAGGAGCGGCTCAGGACTTCATGTCTGCCATGGCAACCATGGGGCTGTCCCAACAAATATCTGGCCCCACCCACTGTGCTGGACATACATTGGACTTGGTTTTCTGTCAGGGATGGGAGCAGGGTGGCGGTGTGGAGGAGCTGTCCATCTCTCCGTTGCCATGGACTGACCACTTCCTGATCAGATTTAGGCTCACTGCGCCCCCTAACCTCTGCAAAGGTGGAGGACCCATTAAGATGGTCCGCCCCAGGAGGCTTATGGATCCGAATGGATTCCTGACGGCTCTTGGGGATTTTCCCGCCACCTCGGTAGGTGACCATGTCGAGGCCTTGGTCGCTCTCTGGAAGGGGGAGATGGCCAGGGCAATTGACATGATCGCTCCGGAACGTCCCCTCTCAAGTAGCCGAGCTAAACCAGCTCCTTGGTTTACTGAGGAGCTGGCAGTGATGAAGCGAAGGAAGAGGGAACTAGAGAGCGTGTGGCGTTTGGATCCGAGCGAGTCAAATCGAACACGGTTTGTGTCCTTTCTAAGGGCATATGCCGCGGCAATAAAAGCCGCAAAGAAAACTTTCTTTGCGGCCACTATTGCGTCTGCAAGGAACCGTCCGGCGGAGCTGTTCCGGATTGTCAGAGGTCTTTTAACTCCCGCCACCTCAGACGGGAGCCCTGACAATTCGGCCACGCGCTGCGAAGCATTTGCTCGGTTCTTTGCAGACAAAGTCGCCTTGATCCATTCTGGGCTGGACACCATGTTAAATGCAGTCTCTGAGGATGTGACACGAGCACCTGCTTGTCCTATTTTGATGGATTCTTTTCAGTTTGTGAAGCCCGAGGATGTGGACAAGATACTTGGAGGAATGAGGCCCACCACGTCC